CCTCTCCCCCTCCCCCCCTGCTCGTGCACATGCACACACACTCTCTCAAACAAACAAATAAATAAATCTTTAAAAACATGGATGCTGGTAAAGAGAGTGCCCCTCCACCTCGTCTTATTCAGTGACACACTACTAATACAGACCGTTGTCAGTAACTTCATAGTCCAAAAAATAGGGCACTTATAAGTTTACACGCAAGTATTCATATATGTAATGAAAGTTCATTGTTATGTCCCAGAATGGACAGAGAGTTTGTCTGTTGGTTACGGGCAAAGTTATACTTTTATATTTAAAAATGTTATCTCTATTGACTGACTCGGTGAGACGAAATTGTTGATAACTCAGATGGTGACAGGGAAGTGGTAGTGGGGAGAGCTTCCCTTGACCGTTGACCATGACTTCAGACTAATGTTGGCCACAAATCTACTGGAGAATACTCATAGATATTTAATCTATCTCTAATATACTGCCTACTCTTTGACACCCAGCGAAAGTCTGCTTCCCTGGTAAGAGCCCCACAGGCTGGCTCAGCTTCTCTCTGTCTTTCCTCCAGCCCCGAGGCTCAAACTGATGATGAATATTGCCCTATCTTGTGGCATCTACTGCTGACTTTTTAAATTGTTTTTCAAGAGTTTATTTTTTACCTCTGTAAATGTAAGTTCCTTGAAAGCAGCAACCATTTTAAATTTCTCCTTGATATAGTATGCTATATATGAATGAATATTGACTAGAATTATACTCCTGGAATAGGCATTAGAGGTCATCCGGTCCAATGCCTTTATTTTATATGTAAGTGTGGTGGTCCTGAGGATGCAAGGACCAAGGAAGTTTACATCCTATTCAACCTTTTTAAGGCAGTTATTTAAGTATGTATTTCAGTAAAACCAGAGAGAAAATCAAGAGAGAAGATACGAGATCCAGGAAACAAGGGATCCAATTCAGGGCAGCCATGAAAATCGAGGATAAAATTGTTCAGCGGGCCTGAGAGCAGGCAGTCTTCTTTATTTTTTTTTAAAGATTTTATTTATTTATTTGAGAGAGAGAGAATGAGAGAGAGAGAACACATGAGAGGGGATAGGGTCAGAGGACGAAGCAGACTCCCTGCCGAGCAGGGAGCCCGATGCGGGACTCAATCCAGGGACTCCAGGATCATGACCTGAGCCGAAGGCAGACGCTTAACTGACTGAGCCACCCAGGCGCCCAGGCAGTCTTCTTTAGAGTGGGAGGATGAAGGCCCCAGGAAAGAGTTCTCCGAGAATGGTATGAGAAGGGGACATTCCATAGAGCTAAGAGTATTACTGGGACTGCCAGAAATTAAACCTTGGATGAAAAACAGAAGGCAATTAGTAACAGCAGTAAAGACAAAAGGCTATGCAAAAGCATTAAGATCCAAAAATGAAGCAAAATGCCCAATTAGATCAGAAGGTCAGCAGACTTCACAAAAGAAGAAGAAAAATATTCCAAACAACAAATGGAATGAGAAAGAATTTGGAGGATATTGGGGATACAGTGTAGAAAGCACATGTTTCTTCCACCAACAATAAAAAAAGAGATGTAATCAGCAACTTCAGGGAGACGAAAAATTTTTCATGAAAGGCAAAGCTCAAATATGAAGCAAATCAAAATGTGGCCTGATATGGAGCAAATGATGGAATATATAAAAAAGGCTCTTCGAAGTGCATAGGGTCTGTGCCATTGGAACAGTGGTGCACAATATGGGCTCTTAGCACCTCTTTGATTCTGCAGCAAAGAATATTTGCTTAGTCATAATAATATAAATGCTGCTCGGTGGTTTTCAGCTTTTAAAAGCAACCACAGACAAGGCACTGAAGCCTGCTTAATAATAGCTATAAAGGAAGATGTAAAGTTTCTCCACCTTCACAATATAAAATGACAACTATAGCTTCTAGAAGTTGGCAGGTGGGTTGTGATAGGTTATTGTTCCCAATTATTCACTGTCCTCCCTGAAAAGAGGATGGCACATCCCCACCTGATGCCATATGGTTTGCCATGCTTCCTGTGGGAGGGAGGGGAATATTTCCTTCCCTGCCCACTGATAACGGGTTTGGCCACGTGACTTGCTTTGGCCAATTGAATGTGAGTGGCAGTGACATATGCAATGACTGAGCAGACACTTTAAGAGGCATTGTGAGGTTCTGGCATTGGTCTTCTCTTTCTCTCATGAGAGTGGCAGGTCTCAGATGGGGCTGCTCTTCAGTCTGCCTCCCAGAATAAAAAGGGACATCAGAAGCACAGCACAGCATGTCACATGAATAAGAAATAAACGTGAGTTGCCGAGATTTTGTAGTAATTAGCATTGTTACTGTCCTAGTGCACCCTACCAAAGCTGACTGACATGGAGAGGGTAGGGTAGAGGTGTGAATACCCTCCTCGTACAAAGGGCAGGGGAGAATCAAGGGATGCTGTCCGTCATTTGCAGATCAAGACATAAAGGTTACCAAGGTGATCAGTGGATGAACCGAAATAAGGCTATGTTGGGACAGTGGAACAATAGTGGGTCAATGATATACTGGGATAGTATTGGGACAGGAGCAACAGGAAGATGAGGGCTGATGTAAGTTAGCTGATCTTACATATCATAGCAGAAAGTCAATGTCTAATGTTGATAAAACATGAAAAAGCAATATAAGTATACTCTGGAGATTAGAAAAACATCAGAAGAATTCCTACTCTTTCTGATATCACCATTGTTTCTTTACCAACTGGCTCATTCCCAGCAGTGTACATACATGCTGACCTTGTCCCCCCCCTTTTAAAAATAGCCTCTTTTGATCTTCTACCCCTCTCCTGCCACTGCCCTTTACAGTATAGTTCCCTGCAGGAGTTACCTGGATTGGCGGTCACTGATCCCTCTCCTCTCGCTTTCTCTTGAACCCACTGTAGTCATTCTGCGTCCGCCACTCACCTGAATTGTACTTTTCAGGATCCCCAGCACCTCGGGGTTGCTAAATCCCGTGGCCAGATCTCTGTCTCCTTCTCCTGGAGCGCTCAGTAGCATTGGACACAGTACCTGTTCCCTCCTTGAAACACTGTCTTCCTCTGGCTTCTGGAACACTCCCCTCTCCTGGTTTTCTCTGTGCCTCACAGCGCCTTCTCTGTCTCCCTTGCTTGTCTTGGCAGCCTCCAACCTTGGGAGTCCCTGGGCACTCGGGGCTCTTGATCTTGGCCTTCTCTTTGACCTTGCTCTTCTTCCTGCCTACACTGGCCCCTTTGATGGTTTCTCCTGGCTTTCTCTTGCATCTTTTTTTTTTTTTTTTAGATTTTATTTATTAATTTGAGAGAATGAGATAGAGAGTACATGAGAGGGAGGAGGGTCAGAGGGAGAAGCAGACTCCCCACCGAGTAGGGAGCCCGATGCGGGACTCGATCCAGACACTCCAGGATCATGACCTGAGCTGAAGGCAGTCGCTTAACCAACTGAGCCACCCAGGCGCCCTCTCTTGCATCTTTATGATGATCACTCCTAAAGTCAGATCTCCTGCTCAGACCTCCCCCTGGACTCCGGAGTCTTACACCCAGCTGACTTCCCAGCATCTACACTTGCAACCCACCAGGCATCCGAGACTTAACTCACCTAAAGCCAAGCTCCTGATGTTCTTCTCCAGGCCTGCTTCTCCCTTCTTTATCCCCCTCGAAGCAAATGGCATCCTTCCAGGAGCTCAGGCCAAAAACCCGGACTCATCCTTGACTCCTCTTTTTCTCGCACCCCACGCCCAATCTGTCTGGGAATGCTCCTGGCTCTGCTTTCAAAATCAATTCAGCATCTGACCACTTCTTACCACGCTGCTTCTGCCTTGCTGGTCCAAGCCCCATCTCCTCCTAAATGGTTGCCATGGGCCCGTAACTGGTCTGCTCACTTTTATTGATGTTCCTCGTGGTCTCTCTTCAACATGGCCACCAGGGCAATCCTTTGAAAACACGAGTGAGTTGGATCAGGTCATCGTTTGAGCTGGAAACCCTCCAAAGTCTCCATGTCACTTAGAGCAAAAGCTCAAGCTTTTATCATAACCCACAAGGCCCTGGGTCAGAACTTTCCCAAAGAAATATGACATGAGCCACAGGTGTAATCTAAAATTTTCTAGTACCTATATCATAAAACACTAAAAGGAAGAGGTGAAATTACCTTTACTAGTATATTTATTTAACTCAGTATATCCAATATATTTATCATCCAGTGCATGTCAATCAAAATTATTAATGAAATGTTTACTATTTCTTTTTTACATACTACGTTTTCAAAGCCTTACAGCACGTCTCAGTTTGGACTAGCCCCGTTCCAGGGCCCGCAGCTGCAGAGCATCTGCCATCTGCTGTCGTTTGGATTCACCTCCCACTCCTCCCCCTCTCGCTCCCTCGGTTCCAGCCCCACTGGCCTCCTTGCCATTCCTCGGCTATTTGAAGAGGCACCTTCGCACTTCAGAGGGTTTGCATTTGCTGTTCCTTCTGCCTGGCAGACTCGTCCCACAGATATCTATGTGGCTCGCTCATTCACGTCCCGAGGGCTTTGCTCCAGTGTCACGGACTCAGCAAAGCCGCCTGTGTTGGGGGTGCCGGGGCCCCCACAACCAGCACCAAAGACAGGGTGGCTTAAGCAACAGGAATTTATCTTCTCGCTCCTGGAGGCTGGGCTGGTTTCTCCTGGGGCCTCTCTGCCTGGCTTGTAGACGGCTGTCCTCACGCTGTCTTTGCTCTGTGTGTGCTCGTGTCTGCGTCCTAATTTCCCCTTCTTTTAAGGACTCAAGTCATACTAGATTAGGGTCCACCCAAAGACCTCATTTTAACTTAATCACCTCTTTAAAGATCTTATCTTCAGAGATGCCGGACTCTTGGCTTCTTCAGCTCAGGTCATGATCTCGGGGTCGTGGGATCGAGCCCCGTGTTGGGCTCCCTGCTCAGCGGGAAGTCTGCTTGAGGTTCTCTTCCTCTGCCTCCCTACCCCCCTCTCCCCCCCGCCAAATAAATGAAAGAATCTTTAAAAAAAAAAGATCTTATCTCCAAATACAGTCACAGTCTGAGGTGCTGGGGGTGAGGACTTCAACCTGTGGATTTTGAGGGGACACAGTTCAGCCCAAACACCCTCCCAGATGATCTTACTTAAGACAGCAGCTCTCCCCCTCCTCCCCACTCTCCCTCCTCCCCACAGGCCCTACCTTTCCCTACTTCCTTTTCCTCGAGAACACTCTCGCTATCAAACATGCTGTATATTTAACTTATTTTCTCTATTGTCTGTTTTTTGTTTGGCTGGTTTTGGTCTGTTCTGTTCATTGCTGTATCTCTGCACCCTAGAACAGTGCCTCGTTCATGATGGGGGCTCCATAAATAGAAGTGCTTGCCTTTGGGAAGCTGGACTCAGCAACGAGAGCTCTCTGAGTATTGCTGGCCCCTAAAAGCCCTTTTTTCTCTGTTTGATTTTTTTAAAACTGTATACCTGTATTACTTGCCTTTTTTTTTTTGGATAGGAATCAATGCCACGGAAAGAGAAGGGGCTTTTATGTGTCACTGATAGGAATGTAAATTGGGACATATTTTCTGGAAACAAGTTTGACACTTAGGTATCAAGAGTCTTCAAATGTTCATACCCATTAGGTTAGTAATCCCACTTGCAGGAACTCATCCTAAGAAAAGTCAAAAACAGGGACAGAAAGTTATGCATAAAGATGTGCCAGGAAGCCTTATTTGTAACATTGAAAATTATAAACAAACCTGGGTGCCTGGCTGGCTCGGTGGGCGGAGCTGGTGACTCTTGATCTCAGGGTTGTGAGTTCAAGCTCTGCGTGGGACGTAAAAATGACTTTATAAAAATGGTATTATAAATAAACCCAGATGACAACAATAGAAGGATGGTAGAATATTATTTACCCCTTGAAATGGTGTTTACAAAGAGTTTCTGACGGTGGGGCAGCAAGTTTTAGGGGGAAATGGGAAAAACATAGTTTGAAATTGTGCAATCCGTAGGATCTCAAGTCTTCGGTATTTTGTGGATTCTAAGGCACCTCCTTTCCCCATGGTGTGGATGTTTCTGAACGTGAGACTGATACCAAGAGAAATGGTTTCTTTCTTTTCTTCCTTTCTTTCCTAAAAAGTTGTTGCTAAATTCACGGTGTGTTTCATGATCAGTGGAATCTTAAAATCAAGAGCATACAAGGTAGAAGACAGATGGGTAGATAAAACCAGACGACACCGAGATGTTAACAGGTGGGGAGCGCCTGGGGGCTATTTTCTTCTTCATACTTTTACACATTTCCCAAATTTTCTAAAACGAACACAAAATGTATTACTTTTGTAATTAGAAAAACTGACTCAGCATTGTCTTGAGCAAACTCCTCCTGTAAGGTTACGATGGTCTAATGCAAGTACGGCACTGTTTTCACAACGGTGAGGGGCTGGGAAATGCCTGGGACAGTGGGGTCCCCGCAGGATCGTTTATGATCAGTGTCCATGCGGCGCCGGGTCAGGTGTGGCAGTGGGTCAGAGGCCCCCTGTCACTCTCGGGAGCCAAGGGACACGTGCTCCGTGAGTCTCCTGTGGGATGTGTCCCACTGTGGCTTGGGTCAGGGTGACCGGGTCACGTTCAGGAATGCCAACAGTGTCCCTATTTCCTCTGAGGTGTTGCAAGGGACTGAGCTGCTGGAAGTGGTGAGCCAGCAGATGCTACTGAGGAAGTCCGTGTTTCCATCAAGTGTCGCCGAGTGCTGTGCAGAGGAGAGTGACTTCCGAGTGCCTCCAGCAGCGTGTCACTGGCCAGGCGAGCAGCGTGCCCCTACTGTGCGCCAGGTCCGTGTTTGGGCTGAGAACCACAGTCGAGGCAGACGCGGTCCCCTCCCTCAAGGAGCTGACCGGCTGATGGGAGGTGCGCTGTCATGAATGGGTGTGCGAGTTACTGGAGGCCGGGCCACCTGAATGCAGTCACGGCGGTGAGGGAGTGGTTTCCGCCACAGCTAGCTAGCCAGGAAGTGAGCAATGGGCTGAAACAGAATGACCCGGACGGCAGGGAACAGAGTAACATTTCCAGCTGTGTGTCCGATTCCTGAAGCCCCAAACATCCTGGAAGCTGGAGACCTCAGAGTTGGCTCTGGTTCTCAAAAGCATGGAACCCTGAGCAGGTCCCTTCACCTCCCTGAGCCTCCACATCCCTATTGGTAGACTGGGGCTCAGGACTCCCGCTAGGCCACCTCACAAGGTCACTGTGTTCTGTTAACCACTAGTTAACATCGGCCAAATGTCCTTTGTTCCCAAGGTCATTTCTGGGCCCCCTCCCAGGGTGGGAAGGACCCCCCCGTAAGTGCTTCCTGGTCCCTCAGAGCCGAGACCTGCCTCACACACCCAACATGCTGGGGGTGTCCCCCAAACCCAGGGCCCGAGGCTGACTTTACTGTTGGGTGAGAGGCTGTAGGAGCATGACTGGTGATGAGTGTGCGCATGTGTGTGCGTGTGCATTGCACACACAAAGGCCACCACAGACTTTACCTTTATATGAGGCACATGTGGGTGGCACAGAGCCTTGAAACCCCGTCACCTGGGCCAGGTGGAGGAGGCCTCAGCAGGATGTACGTCGGGCAGGTGTGTCTTCAGTGTGGGAGCTTCCTGGGAGAATGGGGTGCGGGGCCTCTATGCCCCAGGCTGAGCCATGCTAACCAGGAACGGAGTTTCTAAGGGGATGCTGAAGCGATGGTGTGGGGACAGCATTTTCTTTTTTTTTTTTTAAAGATTTTATTTATTTATTGGAGAGCGAGCGAGAGAGAAACAGCATGAGAGAGGAGAGGGTCAGAGGGAGAAGCAGGCTCGCCGCTGAGCCGGGAGCCCGATGTGGGACTCGATCCCAGGACCCTGGGATCATGACCTGAGCTGAAGGCAGTCGCTCAACCAACTGAGCCACCCAGGCGCCCAGGACAGCATTTTCTTATTCAAACAACAGAACACAGGGATATATTGGGCATTTATTCAAACTCATCAGAGAGACTGTTTTCTTGGCTGGAGTAGCTGACACAAGACAGGGCTGTTCCGGAACCGGGAACGTGGGGCAGGCCTGGCTGGGGTGCTCTGGGGGAGCTACGCATCCCATGGGCTTTGGTCGTTGTTGACTGGGAAGCCTGACGGCCATGCCAAGATAATTTAGTGTTTGTGGAGAACAGCCCATCCAAAGACCTCTACAAAGGAAATGGCCCAACATTCCCAGGACCAGGCAGCCTTAAGGCGGCTCCAGTCCCTGCATTTTACCTAAGAGGGGGCCCCTCCATCCCTGGCGCCCTGACACCGCAGTGTCACCTTGCTGACACCTGCAGAGGCCCTCCTGCCACCTCAGGGCTGCTTGTCGTGGGTGCCAAATTGCTGTAATTGCCACTTTTCAAATGAAACGTGTGCATGGGCCTTCCAAAGTCTGGGGAGGGACAACGTGCCAGGGACCCGTCAGTTTCCCGTCCCTGCTCGTCCTCCCTCATGATGGCCCGTGCAGGGGGTCCCTGGCACCTCCTTCTCGGGACCCATGGATGGAGCCAGTCCAGGGGCGCCACGTCCCCGACAGCATTTGCTCACTTCCTGTCTGTGTGTCACATTCCGGTGATTCTCGTGCTGTGTCAGTTTTCCTTACCACATTGGCTCTAGCGGGCTGTGATCCGTGATGGTGACGCCGAAAGCTCACACGGTTCGCACTGGGCAGTAACAAAGTCTTTCTAAATTAAGGTATGTGCTTTGTTTTGGACCCAATGCTGTTGCACACCCAATAGGCTGCAGTAGAGTGTGAACATGACTTCTCTGTGTCCTGGAAGCCGAGCAGCGCATTTGACTTGCTTTTTTGTGACCCTCGCCTGGTTGTGGAGTTCTGGCGCCCACCCCGCCGGATCTCCCAGGGCCACCTGCCCACACCGGAACAGTCACCCAGTGTCCCATTCCGTGGTTTTCAGCCAGTTCCTCGTCTTTTGTGCCTGCCCCTGCCCCGTCTTCCAGTCCTACTCCCTGACCGCCTTCTTTCAGATCCTAGGACGCGTGATGTGACAAGAACACATGAGTACAGGTGGCTTCGAGGAAGCTTCTGTGTGGGGGCTTGCTGCCCGGGGGTGGTGGGGGCAGGAGCCTGCGTCTGGGTGGGCTGGGCGCACGTCAGTGCGGCGGCCAGGCGCATGCAGGCAGCCAGCCTGGAGGCTCCCGAGCCCAAGAAGCATCTGGAAGCCAGGAAGGAAAACGTGACAGCATGGCGCCAGAGAAGAAGCTGAGCCCCAGGGCCTGTCCCAGGTGCACAGACACCCTCCCTGTGGGGACAGGCCAGCTGTGGCCGCACTGTGCGAGGGACACGTGTCCTCCTTGGGCCTGGCTGCAGGAGCCACTCGATGGATGTGGGCCCTCCCGGGTCACAGGGTGGTCAGTGTGGCCGGGGCACGACGTTGCTGTGCACACAGGGTCTGTGTCCCCAGATGCCATCTCTGCTCGCGTCTCGGCTCTGACCACTTCCTCTTCTGCTCTGAAGCCTTCGACAGCTCCTGCCGTCCACGGGCCCAGTTCCTACTCTGCACGGGGCCCATGGGACCCAGTGAACTGTCCCCGCCCTCCCCCACTGGTTTCTTTAGTCCAGCGGGGCCACTTGCTTTCATACGGTGCTCCTGTGCCTGGGACCGCGACCCCCCATCGAGGGCAGCGCCTGCCCCAGCCGTCAAGGCCCACCTCAGATGGCCTCCTGACCCCTCTGTGCAGTGAGCTCCCCCTTCCAGGACTGTCAAGCCACTTAGGATGTTCCTCTTGCTCCCCGGAAATTCTGGTTGTGTGTATGTATATATATATATATATATATTTTTTTTTTTTAAGTTTTATTTATTTAAGTCATCTCTACACCCCACGTGGGCCTCAAACTCACGATCCCGAGATCAAGAGTCATGCGCTCCTCGGACTGAGCCGGCCATGCACCCCTCTGTTGTCTTAGTCTTCCGTGAATCGTTTCCTTGAGGGTTGGGGCTGTGCGTGACTTACCCTCTGCCTCGCCGGGCGCCTAGCACCCCTGTTGCAATCAAGCTGAACTAAATGCATCCTGATTTCTGGCTGTAAATGTGGGGCAGAGAGCGGGTCCTTGTTCCTCGAATCTAGTGACCCCAAACATGACACAGGCTTTCATGTCACTCCTCAGCCTTCCCAGCTCAGAGGGAAGTGAGGGACAGAGTTCTCATGGCTGCAGGCAGGATGGGGGGTGCTGTCTCTGAGGGGTCCTTGGTGTCCCAGCCACTCAGGGGAGGGCCATGGGGCAGAGGAGGGATGTTGCCTGCCCCTTTGCTGGGTCAGAGCACCTGCTCTGTGGGGGGTTCACTGGGACAGTCACGAGCTTACTGAGAAGAGCCGGGCCACCATCCATCCTTTCAAGTGGTATACCCAATGGCTGAGAAGGGGGGAGGGGGGCAGTGGAGATGATCAATCTCAGTAAACCGTTTTAATAAAGATTGGTTTGGGCAATAGCCATCAAATGAAATCTAGGGGGAAATTTTGATGGGAAACAGGATATTTGCATGATCTTTAAGTGCCTCCACAGAATGCTTCTAACTTGTAAAGAGAAAAGTGATACAGCATCTTGACTGAGTGAACAGAATAACATCGCCTGGACCTTGAAAACATTACACCAGATGAAGGAAAGCAGTCACAAAAGACCCCACACTGTACGACTGCATTTATATGGACAATCTAGAATTGACTGATGCGTAGAGGTGGAGGGCAACTTGGCTGAGGAGTGTGGCTGGGAGCACAAGGGAGGGACTGTTAAGGCGTAGCGGGGGTTTTCTGGGGTAGCAAAAATGTCCTAAAAGTGATTGTGCTTGGTTGCACACCGAATTATTAGATGGGCAAATGTTATCATATGTGAATTATAGCCCAATGAAGCGGTTAAAAGATTAGCATTACCGAGGTGGGACAGATGGACATCGCATGTCTCCTGGTGGGATCTCCTGTGCAGGATCCCAACCCAGGGTGCATGACCCAAATCTTCTGAGGAAGGAACCAGAGAAGCCCAAACTGAGGGGCATTCAACAAAATACCTAGCTGGTATTTTTCAAAAACATCATTGTCATGAAAGATTAAAGAAGACTAAACAAACTTGAGAACTAAACGTAAAGCATAATCTTGGATTAGATCCCGTACCGGAGGAAAAAAGAATCCCAAGAAAGACGTCTTTGAGACAATTGGCAAAACTGGAATATGGGCTGTCAATTAGATAAATATCATATCCATGTTGCGATTTCCAAAAGACAGTAACTGTGCTACAGATATGTAAAAACACAACTTTGTTGCTAGAAACACACTGAGGTTTAAGGGGTGAAGAGCCATGATGTATGCCGCCTATTTACAAAGGGTTCAGGAAAAATAAATAATAATATGGAAGAAAGAGAATGACAAATGTAGCAAAGTATTAAGAATTGGTAATCTGGGTAAAGGGTAGACAGGAGTTCCCCATATTATTCGTGAAACTTTTCTGCAAGTGTGGAAGTATTTGAAAAGAAAAATTATAAAATTATATAGTTAAAAGCCAAATACACTCAGACATTTCAGACGTAGCAGTTACAGCTAAATCCTAAGTACTGTAAGCTCTTTCTTATCACCGAAGGTCTGCCAGTTCTCACTAACTCAGGGGCCATCTGGGGCCACAGGGACAGAGTCCTGGTGAAGTGGCATATTGGCGTGCAGGGCCCAGACCCCCAGAAGAGATTTTCCCCAGGACTCGTACCATTTAAATCCCAAGGTCACGCAAAAGTTTATTGCAGCCCTTTGGGAGTGTGAGCTTTTCCTCTGCCCCACCAGCGCAGGCCAGGGTATAACAGAAACGAGTTTCCCAGGAGGCTGGGAGATACAGCGGGTGCATAGTGAGCTGTCCTTGCAGTGGCTGGTTGGGACTAAACCCACTGCTTGTGCGGCCTGCCTCTGGGGTCGACCAGGAATCCAAACACTGCAGCCAGAGCTGGGGCAGATCCCAATGCCACAGATCTCTTTTGGAGAAGTCTCATTTCTTGGTTATTCCTGTTTGACATCTCCCTATGGAGTCCAAGAGTCATTCATGGACCTCAAAGAAACCAACCTCAAACCAACCGCCAATGAGCATGCCAGGAGAGTGAGGGAGAGCCTCCCCTTAGCCTTGGCTGCTCTCAGGGGTCCTGTGGTTGAACATGCAAGTGGAATCCTTCCAGAAATCACTCTGTGCTGACTCAGAGGTGGGAAAAAGCAAACAAAATCATAACCATCTTAGGCCCCAATAACTGGGGTTCTTAGAAGTTCAGAGCAGAAAGGGGGCCGTGGAGGACGCACCAAAGTTGCAGGTTGGGTGAGGGCAGGTTTGGCCGGTCTTGGGCCTCCGTGCCTGGGGCTGGGCTCCAAGTTTGATACATCCTGATAAGAGGGGCCTCAGTGCTTGGGAACTGGTTTGAACTGAAGGAAAGCAGAGAAAAGCCATGGCTTTGGCAAGATACCGGATGGCTCGCGCCCACTCTTGGATGGGACTGTTGTGTGTTTTATCTTTCCTGCTAGCTCTCACTTGAGCCCCATGAAACTGATGCCGAGGGATGTTCTCGATCTCCCTGTGTAGATTCTCAGGCATGCCTGGAGACCGACCAAAGCACTCCTTGAAGGCAGACCAGGGGAAGGCAGCGGGTGAGCACCTTGGTCTCCCCAGTGCTGTTTGCATCCCATCATTTCACATTCTGTTTGGGGTTCCCCACACACCACCCCCAGCCATCAGGGGACTGGCATCAGCACCAGTCGTGATTCTTAACCCAAATCTGAAGATCATTAACACTGGCTGGGGGTAGGAGGTGGAGCAGTGGGTAAAGTGTGCTTTAAAACCGAGTATCTAATCTTTTGGATCATCTGGCCTACCTGCTGCTCTCATTTCTGGCTTTCCCGTTTATCCTGTGGGTTGGTCTTGTCTCTTTGATGACACCTTTTCTGTGTGTCTTCCCCAACTGTTGGTCCAGTGCAGAGCGCACAGCGGGATCCCAGCATAGCTGCTGACCCATAACGAGCTGGGAAGGAGAGCTGAGAGCCCATATCCCGGCTTCTCCTTCCAGCTCTGCCACGAGGGCAGCCGTGGGCTGATGGAGCTCACCGTCCTTGTCTAGGCCCCACTTCGTACCTGTCCGAAGCAGGAGTGCTTACTAGTCCTGCCTCTTTTTGCCGAGATTCAAAGATATCAGATCAGGGCCATAGGCACCTTGTACCTTTAAGTCAGGAGGTGAATGGAGGCTCCGCTGGTCGCTTGTCTGGCTGGTCCTGGCTGATTTCATGCTTTCAGGCTCTGAAGGAGTGAGCCCTGCCCTTGCAGAGGTGGGCAGGAGAGGACCCTTCCACCGCCTGTCTCCCTGGCCCCGCATCTCTTCCCCGGCCTGCCCTGGGCTCCGGCATGCTGACCTGCCTCACCTGCTGCAGGTGTGTTGGACAATGGGAGGCCCTGGCAGGGGAGGGAGGGGAAGGGGTGAGAGGTCGGGTGTTGGCTCCTCCGGCTTCCTGCCTATGACCGTGGCTTCTGCCCTCCGGCCCTCTCCGGACTCAGACAACACCCCCTTCTCTCTCCCTGGGCCTTCAGGCCCGGCCTGGGACCGGCCTCCTGCTGCTGCAGGCCCCCAGCACTTCACTCTCCCCGTGGGTCCCCCACCCCAGACCTTTGTCAAAGCAATAGCCCCTTCGTTAAGAGCCTGGCTCAAGCCCGATTCCTGCCGGGACCCCCTGGGTGCAGAGCTGGTTGTTGCCAGCGCCCCCTTCACGGGGCTGGGGGATACCAACCCGCCAGCTTGGCACCACGACCGCCCCCACCCCTCATTTTCCTACAGAAGTTGGTTCTAGCACAGTCTTCCTCCTGGAAGCTCTGGAACAGCCCGTACACCGAGCCAGAGCTTCCTGCTGGCTGGGGAGCGTGGGTGTCCAGCTTCCAAATGGCTCTCTTGCTCGTGACTCGCTGCATTCCCGGGGGGCCGGGGCCAGGCTGAGCGCAACGCCCCGGCGTCCCAGCCGGGGTCCTCCTCCCTGCATCCTGTATGGTGTTCATGCTCTTGCCTCATGACCAGCCTCAGCCCAGCTCCTCTGGGCGGTTGTGGGCTGGGTGCTTGGTTCCCGAAGCTCCGGGCTGACCTCGCCTTGCAGGGAGGCCAGGCTTCGGAAGCTCTGCCATCCTGGGAGTGCCCTCATCGCCTCCACCTGGGGCCCTCCTCGGCCTGGGGCCCCCCTTCTCTTGCCTTTCCCTCCAGACCACCACCTACTCCGCCTCCCCCCTTCCCCACGGGCTGTAGACCTCCAACTTGGAAGAACTCACTCCCCATCCATTGGTGATACTTAGGGACCCGTCTCCACCACGATGGTCACTTTGGAAGAGGCACCATCTGGCCACTGCTGGCACCCCTCTTTCGCTTCCTGAGATAGCCAGAAGGCACCACAAGCCAGTCACCACCTCTGTCCAATGTACTTTCCGCTCCCTAAGACCCAGTGTTTTGCTTTTCGCCGCCCGCCCCATTCCCTTCTGCTCCCCACTGTTTGGAGCCTGGGACCTGGGAAAGAATGAAGTCCTCATTGCGTGGTTTGATTTTTCTTCCTCCTGGCACAGAAAGAACCCCCAGTGTTTGAGTAGCTAAGGCCCCCAGTGATTCCTCGTTATGAGAAGAGTCATCAAAACATACCCGTTATGCATTAAGTCTTCACAAAAGACAACAAAGATTAGCGCATCATCTACTTGCAAGGAGCCCCTTTGCTAGCCATACCAATTACGTTTTTAAGAAGCAGAGGGGTTCGAGTTGGGTTCTTCTGAATCTGGTTTTCTCCCCCTCCTTGTGATTTGTATGCAGACTTCCGAGAGGCAGGTTTTATAACACAGATTCAGCCAGGCTAAATCACAGCGGCAGAACCTTATGCAATGGCTAAAAACCTATGAGTTAAAAATGGAATAGTCTTGCAGAGTGGAGAAGGTAATAATAATAACATCAGGGATGTGAAAATAGAAAGTAAAAAATTAGTATTTCAGGAATGCAGGTCTCTTACCCACATTTTTCTGCACCTGGAGAGCTTGGTGTCATTTTCCAGAATAAATCCAAAGCGCGAGCTCTCACTAGAAAAATAAAACTTTTGTTTTCACAGGTTCAACCCTCCGTCCCCAGTGAATCCAGGGTCGAGAGCCCTTTTTACTGACTTCTGGCTGTCATGCCACAAAACACGTTTTGTGTTTGTTAGAATCTGTATGTTCACTAATGCTTGTAAAGGAACAGATTTTAGATTTTTATAAGTGGGTTTTGTTAATTTGCTATTTTAAAAATACTTGTGAGACCTTTACAGTTGCCATAGTGATATAATTTCCATAAACATGATTTTTTTGTGGGGATTTTTTGCACATTGAAGGCTGAGGCTGATAGCAGTGTTGGGGGAGAGTAGGTGGTGAATTTGGCAGCCACCCCATTGCTTCCTCCCTCAAATGCTGCAGATCTGGTTCCAGGGATCCACGTCATGGCAGAGACCTAGACCCCTAATCACCACATCTGACACCCTAGGCTTCTGGGGAGTGAGCCTGGTCAGGGGAGAAGGGGGCCAGCCCCCGGGTGGGGGATCACGGGTACCTGCGTGGCCCATCAGTGGTCCAGCCCACGTCAGAGTGACCTGCACTCTCTCGCCAAACCTTGGCTTCACAAAGCCTTGGAGGACCCAACCTTGGAGCTGCCCGAGGGGCAGTGGAGAGCCTGGAGACTCTTTCCCTTTGAACCAGATTCATAAAAAAAAAAAAAATTCTATTTTAATTCACAATACTGCTAAAATGCTGAACGTTTGCAATGGAAAATAAAAATGTAACAAATACTAGCTGTTAAACAAGACAAGAAGGCATTGAATAAGAAGGCATTTTATAGTCCTCTAGAATGCCAGTAGTTGAGAAAAAGCAGATTTGATTAGAAGAAGAGTTAGATGGTCCCAGTGGCACCACGCTTATCAGTGATGCTAGACATTTGCTTTGGCTCATGGAGAGACTTCACTGTTAAGCTTTATTTCCCGGAGAATGGAACATACAGAGAGATCAAGGGAGAAGCAGAACAAATAAGAGAGAGATTTCTAATAACAAAGAACGTCTGGGGAGAGAAACGGCCAGAAAAAGGAGTTTCAGGAGGCAGTGTCAGCCTGAGATGGCAGAGCAGTGTCGGGCCAGACGCTCCACGCCAGGCGCTGCCTAGCTCAGCCGAGGGGTTTGATTCATACGGAATCATGAATCATAAGCAAGTACGAATTACTAGAAAGGCTTTGTGTTGACTGTTTTTATTTAGGTAGTACCAGAAATTCGAACACGGCCACCCAGAGGAGAACGTCCCAGACTCCCCGAGTGGCGGAGTTACCCATCTCCATCTCTGGAGAGCCGACCCGCGGTGTCCAGGAGAGGTTGCGCATGTCAGCGGCACGCCGATGGATGCCTGGAATGTGCACTGAACAAGGGCGTGTTCGGAAGTGTGCTAGACGGGCACGGAGCACTCCGCGAAGTGGAAAAGGCCCACGGACCGGCCCGTCTACAGAAGTCTGTGGCCACACAGCTGCTGTCGACTTGGGGTTTGTTGAGTGTGTCTCTTGAAGAGGAGGAAGACGAACCCGGAGTGTGGGCTGACATTCTGTGCCTCTGGAGTCGTGGGGCTGGGGGCAGGGCTCGCTGCGGGGTTGTGCCTGGCTGGCAAGGCGGGGGGGTGGGGGTGGTGACGTGCTCTGAGGGCTCTGCAGGCATTTTTGTTTGCCCTGAAATTGCCCAGAGGAATTTGGCATGGCACGCGGCCGGAAAGTGGCTCACTGTCCCAGGCGGAGTGGGGCTCAGCACCCGCGCTGCACCAGCCTCTTCTTGTAACACACATTTAATGCAAAGGTTTTTGTTTTTGTTTTTGTTTTAAATAATGCCTCAGTGGCAGGTAGCTTGGCTCTCGGCTGGGGCTGGTGGGCGGTGAGCGGGAGAGGGAAGCAGCATCCCGGGACTGATGCAGCAGGGTGGGGGAGCACCTCCCTCCTCATTGAGTCAGCGTGTGGCCCTCGGGGCATGGCCTTCCAAGATGCTCTGTGGTGTTCTGGGTGCAGGCAGGTCAGGACCGGTCCCCGCTCCCCTCGCCAGGAGTGGGAAGATTTCATCCTTTGGGAGGAAACAGTAAGCAGAAGTACCACCACCTGCCACGTTGCCCAGAGGAGGGGACATAGGAGGGTCAGGTGCTCGAGCACAAAGGTCATTTGATGATGGGGAGCCAAGGATCCAGAATTTTTGTGGTGAGTGCTTCCCTGAATCCTGGTGACCCCTTGCCGGGTAGAACTAATTTATTTTGCTGGGGGAATCCCTCCTGGATCCCACTCTACCAGGGGAGAGCTGTGTGACCTTGGGCAAGTTATTTAAGTCCTCTGTGCCTCAGTTTCTTCATCCGCAAAAGGGGGGCAATCACAGGACCCACCACACAGGCCTCTTGAAGATTAAATGGGTTGTTCCACAGAAACTGCTTGGAATAGTGCCTGGAGCACAGTGAGGATTCCATGTCTTTTCCAGGCTCCAAAGGCACTGATTTTTCTCCCCTCTCCCCCGTGGTGCAGCCTCCAGTACCCACATTCTACTCTCTGTCGCTGTGAGCTGGGCTTTTTCGGTTCCACACGTGAGATCACACAGTGTGTGTCTTTCTGTGTCAGGCTTACCTCATGGAGCCTCAAACCCTCAAGCTTCATTCACGTCGCAAATGGCAGAGTTTCATTCTGATTTTGAGGCGGGATAATATTCTGCTGTGTATATATTACGTTTTCTTTGTTCGTCCATCGACGGACATTTAGCTTGGCTAGAAGGCTGCATGGAACATGGGGGCAGCTGTCTCTGTGAGATAGTGATTTCATTCTCTGTGGATAAATACCCAGAAGTGGAATTGCTGGATCATTTAGTGCTTCTATTTCTTGAGGACCCTGAACGCTGTTTCCCAGAGCAGCTGCACCAGCTCGCATCCCCACTGACAGCGCACGAGGGTCCCCTTCCTGCATGTCCTCGCCGGCACCTGTCAGCACCTGTCATGTCTGGTCTTTTCGATGATGGCCATTCTGAAGGTCTGAGGGGAGAGCCCATTGAGGCTTATTTGTGTTTTCCTGGTGATTTGTGATATCTACGTGTACCTGTTGGCCACTCGTGTGTCTTCTCTGGGGAAATGTCCATTGAGGTCCTCTGCCCATGTTTTATTTTATTTTTTTCTGGTTAAACACTATTCTCGTCTGGGAACATGTGTTGGGGTGGGGAAGCCTGGGGCCCTCCAGGGACAGAAGCTGTGGTCAGGTTTGGTCTAAAGCATGTTTAACTTGGAACCGCTCTGCAGGGAATGGTGAGCCCAATGATTCCTAGAAATGCCGAAAGGACAGGACAACCAAGGACAGGGCTGTGGCTTGCTGGTCCCTTGAGCTGTGTCCACCAGTCAGGGCCCTTCTTTTTTTTTTTTTTTAAAGATTTTATTTATTTATTTGAGAGAGAGAATGAGATAGAGAGCATGAGAGGGGGGAGGGTCAGAGAGAGAGGCAGACTCCCTGCTGAGCAGGGAGCCCGACGTGGGACTCGATCCCGGGACTCCAGGATCATGACCCGAGCCGAAGGCAGTCGCTTAACCAACTGAGCCACCCAGGCGCCCAGGTCAGGGCCTTTCTTGCCCCCTCCACCTGAGCGGGGCCTTCTGGGGGCCCCCCTTCCCAAGCACCCTCCCTGCTCGGAGTCTGCAGGCTGTTGTGGTCAGGATGGTGCCCCCCTTTCTGCCCATGGCCGTCGCCCTGAGCTCTGACAGTGGATTCTCTGGGTAATTAGAGCAGTTCATCGGGTTTGCCTCGAGGCTCCAAATGAGACCTTTGGAGAACAGCGGCTAGTTTAACCTAAGTGGCCCGAGAACAGGCAGAATGGAGCTGAGTGCGGAGGAATGTGCTTTTATGGAGCTGTGTGTTTAAAGATACATCTCGGATTTGTTTCTTAGCAACGGGGCTCATCCGGAGCACAAGCACGCCGACAGTGTCAGAACACCCAGCGGTGCCCACAAGCACTGTAGAAAATACAATAAAAATCTGGAGAGTAGGAGAGAAGATTTAAGCGGAGTGCCTCCAGCAGGAGAACAAAGCTCAGAACCCTGAGCCGATGTTGCAGACAACAGGTGTAGCCCAGAGACGGGGTGTAGACCGGAGTGGCCTCAGGGGCGGGTGGGGGAGGTTCCTAACCCACCTGCTGAGCCACGTGCCTCCGCAGGGCTCCCTTCCTCTGACCAGCATCTCGCGGTCATGCCTCCCTCCTTCCCTGGCACCCAGAGCCTCCAAATGTCCTTCTAGAGTCTGAACTGGAAGAATGGCTGGTTGGAGCCCCGGAGGAGATATCGGAAAGACCCAAATCCAGGGACGCCTGGGTGGCTCAGTCGGTGAAACGTTCAACTCTTGATTGCGGCTCAGGTCATGATCTCAGGGTTGTGGGATCGAGCCCCGTATTGGGCTGCATGCTCAGCTCAGAGTCTGCTTGTCCCGCTCCCTCTGCTCCTCCCCAGCTCACTCGCTCTCTCGCTCTCAAATAAATACATAAATAAAATCTTAAAAAAAGACCCAAATCCAGAGGTTCCAACCCTTAAAAATGCATTTAAATGCCTACAGAGAAGCCAAATACAAAGAAAACCAAAGATACTGAAAAATAATTTTCAAAATTACCAATAATTATTTAAAAACCCCACCAAATTTGTATACTGAAACACCGTGTTTCTGTATTTAATACATTAAATGGGAAGATCCAGCCATGGGTCAAATATGTGCTGTAACTTTGAAATAGTGATTCGTGTTGATGGTATATTGAGAAATCTTCCCAGCTGCACTGTGGTACAGAAATATCCGTGATTTCTGTTGATGAGGAAGACCAGGCTCTAGTAACGTTATCGTGGCTATTGCCTGCATCTTTAAGGAAAGGAAATGCGAACACTGAGTTGGAGGTTAGTGTAAATACAGAAATAATGCTCTTCAGTCCCAGCTGATCCCAGGGTGCGGGGTGTGCGGACCCCGGGTTTACCCCAAGAAGCTCTTCCCTCATGCATCCTCCTGGTCCCCACTTCTGTGTCCCTGAGGCCTGCGTTGTTAGGGGGTGCCTGGGTGGCTCAGTGGGGGGAGCGCCCAACTCTTGTTCTCAGATCTTGACCGCGAGTTCAAGCCCCACTTTGGGCATGGAGCCTACTTAAAACAAACAAAAAAACCCCAAACCCTGTGTTGTCAGAGTTGCTATGCGGGCAGGACAGACAGACAGGCAGGACAGAGAGGCAGTGAGATGCTCCAGGGCATGGCGGTGCTGGGGCCGCTGGGAGGACCCAGCAGCCCGCTCCCCAGAGAAGCCCCTGAGGTCACCTTCCTCCACAGAGAGACATTCGCCGCACGGGTGTCCAGGGTCAAGGTCACCGAAATGGCATTTGATCTTGGAAACACGAATTTCTCGGGAAACAGGAGTAGGGGCTTTTTTCCATCTGTTTTTCTAATAATGTCCGCTATGTTCACTTAATAGTGTACAGCAGGGATTTTAAGAAGTGCTTCGGATGCAGCGGGCTCTCAGCACAGTCCAGCCTCCTGTGCTGTCCTCTCAAAGCTGGGCTTCAGTGGAAGCCAGGAGACCCGAGGTGGGGAGGTTACCTGTCCAGTGCGGCCGGGTGCCAGGGGAGATGGGGAGACGGAAGGCAGTGCAGGTCAGGGGCAGTGGCGAGAGGCCCCCTCGGAGGCTGTGCACATGGTGTAGGGGTGCAGGGGTTGCCTCTGGAGGGCAGGCCTGCAGGCGGGGCATGGGGAGCCGGGACAAGCACGCTGGCGTTCCCACAGTCCCTGGGTCTGCTGCGGCGCAGGGTTCCTGCGAACCACGTGCTCTGGCTGCCTGGCCCGGGGCACGGCCACCTGCAGGCTGCTGGGATAGCCTCTGAGCCAAAGACAGCCTCTGAGCTTTAGTGTCCCCCAGGTGCTTCCACCCCTTGCTGAGTGGGAAAGTCGTGGGCCCCACGGTGTGGCTTCTGCCAGACTGGCATTCTTCTGTTTTGCAGGACCAGGGTCACAAAACCTTAGAGCTGGAAGTGTTCTTGGGGAACATGCCATCTAGGTGTCTTATTTTGCAGACGTGGACCCCAAGGCTCGGAGGCAAAAGGGACTGTCCCACGTCACAGGGCAGTGTCAGAGCCTGGGCGAGAGCACGCAGTGGGAGGTGACCACACCTTCCCTGCTCCGCCCCCCCAGGGAGGCGGGCTGGAGGTCGTGCCGTGTCTGGGCCTGTGGCGGGTGATGCCGTTTGCCTTGTGCACAACCCGCTGAGTCAGTTTGACAACCACAACTGTTATCTGGGCAGGACTGATACTGGTGGTCTAGAGGCCCGTGCGGGTTAGTTAGTGCGTGCCACCGCTTTCCCATAGTGGGACACCAGCCCGCCATCACTGGCTCCGCCCTGTCTCCCCTTGGGCAGGTCGGTTAAGCTCTTTGTGCCTCAGAACCTGATGTTAACAGTATCCGCTTCACAGGCTTGTCGTCACACGAGGGTTAATACACATAGAGCTCTGAGAACAGATGGTGGTGGG